ACAAATATTGATACTTTGTAGAATAATCAAGAGCTTGAGTCAATTAGAAATGAAAGTATGAAACTAAATCTTAAGTAAAAGATTCAATATACAGAATGACATGTACATAAATATAATCTATTAATTTACTATTGTATTATTAATTAATCCATCAAAAAAACCTCAAGTAGAACCAAAGCTTGTAAAGTTACCTTAATACACTCCAAATTTTTTGACCTCAAGTCATTAAGAACTAAAGCTTGTAAAGTTACCTTAATACACTCCAAAGATGAATTGTGTCAAGTAGAATTGTTCAAAATAAAAAAAATGTTATTGATTTATCAATTTTAGTATTTTTCATATCGGGTTCCTATACACAAAATACCTTTCAACATTTCAAACTGGCATAATACATAAACACGATCCTTAACTTGGCTTCAACGAACAACTATGCCCTCCAACTTTGAGTGTGCACAAGTAGACACTTAAACTTGTATAAAATTGAACAAGTAGACACATGTGTCCTACGTGACATAATACATGTAGGACACCATGTAGGATACGAAATTTTCATGTAGGACGAATGTGTCTATTTGTTCAATTTTATATAAGTTTAAGTGTCTACTTGTGCACACCCAAAGTTAAAGGTCATAGTTGCCCGTTGATGCCAAGTTAAGAGGCATGTTTATGTATTATGCCTTTCAAACTTAATGGCCCTTCACTCCCTTCCCTCCAGACAACTTTATTTCAAAGCCCATTATTCAAATCAAAAAAAGGAGTCCATACTAAAGTTAAATCGGCCCATTAAAAAAAATCTACGAACAAATAAGCAAAAACTCAAGGAAACATTCAAAATGACAAATATTAGGCCTTAAATAGGAATTTATAGCTATAATTTACTTAATTACGAATAATAGCAAAATGTTAGTGGAGGAGGGAAGAGATAGGCGAGCGATATCTGTGAGAAATAGAGAGGAGAAGTGTATTTTTCGCGGATTTTGGAGAAAAAATATAAATACAAATTGATTTGTATCAAAATGAATACATATTAAGAGGAAAGATGCAAGTGAGATCGAGAGAGGGAGGAGAGAGGCAAGTGAGATCGAGAGAAGGAGGAGAGAGGTGAGCGAGATCGATAGAGGGAGGAGAGAAAATTGTATTTTTGTATTTATTTTTGCATGGTATATATTTATTTAGTACCAATTGTATTTGAAATACAACAAATCATATTTTGTATTTATTTTGCTTGTCTTCTTTATTTATTTCGTATCAATTGTATTCGAAATACAACGAATACACAGTTTTTCGAATACAACTGAAATGAAATACAAAACTCTTATATATATATATATATATATTTGATCGAATACAATTACTACATAATACATTTGAATTGATTTCTTCTTATTGATAGGAGAAAGAAAAACAGAGAGAGACAGGGATAGAGAGAGAGAGAGATAGGAGAGGGAAAGACCGCAAGAGAGAGGGAGAAGAGACAAGGGAGAGAGTGGAAGAGTTTGCTATAAAAACAACATATTGCTATTTTTATTAAAATTATTTTTAAGCTATAGCTCTTTTTCATAAATAAATTGCCAATTTTGAAGTTGCATAAATAAAATGGAGGAATTAATTATAATTATTGAGAATCACGTAGTTGGCTTAATTTGCAAAGTTGGTCAAAGGAATAAAGTGAGGAGCATTTAATCACAAGAAAAAGAAATAGGACTACCACCCATTTGCACAATGTGCTGGCCAAGGATAAGATATATTATAATAAACCAATAATCCATTTTTTTAAATTTTCCTCCGGGATTCGATATTTGTATTGGAGTTTGACTACAAATTAGCACCGCGTAGGGATCTATTAGTGGAGAAGCGCTTACCAATGTATTTTTTTCAATCCCAAGACTAGAATTCAAAACCTCTGATTAAAGGAAAAACAACTTCATTTGCTACACCACATCCATAACAAGTAATAATCCAACTTTCAAAATGAAATATTTCTTTCATTTAAGTATAAACACTTAAACTAAATCATTTTATTTTCGTCAAATCATGTGCTGCTATTTTTACATGTGTAAATGAATCAAACTCATAATCACATCTTTTGTCTAAAAGAAGTCACCTAATAATAAGTATTCTTACATCAAGTTATATTACTTAACCATTGTAATTAAATTGAGACAACACATAAATTGCACCTTATAATTATCCAAAATAAATCATATATTTATATATTTTAACTAATTTGACGATCTAATTACCATGATATGGTGGCACACACATCATTGTTGTATTTCATTCCTAAAAGCAGGCGATCGATAATTCTTATTGATGTTAGGTGTATTTAAATATTTATTTCGCTACTCGCACGGTTCATCAATACTTGTTCATTATTGACTTTGCGCAATTCTTAAGAAATTATAAATAGAAGGGTAATTTTACTATATCAACCTTTGGCTATAATAAATACAATATCTTAAAAAATATAATAGGAAAATGACTATAATTAATAATAAGGGTAAATTAGGAATATCATCTCATATTGTGTTAAATCCTTACATATCAATATTAGCTAGCGTAAATTAGAGTAATTAATCAGTTTTTACAGTAGTTTATTGAATAAATCATAAAATAAAGTCATTGCGAGGTTGATATTTAACTTGTTTTTCCATGTACTATCAATAAGATCAATTATAACTCATCACACATTCATACTCAAGAAATATAGAAAAAAAATCACAATCAAACTATTAAAAGAAAAGAAAATGAACTAAAAATCAGAGTTCTAAATGATTAATTTTGAATATAAAAGTAGAAACGTATGTTACGATTTTATAAATCTAATTCATTGAAATGTCACTATATTACTTAGCGATCACATGTGCTTGCATGTGCATTTGATAGCAACAACATCTGATTATTAATTGAAACAAGCAATATAAACTAATGCATTAAAATTATATGGAAAATCATTTTTTCTTATTTTGTGTACATTAATGTTGCTAACTGCTGCACCCACTGGTTTTAATTTCTGCATTTTTATGAATATCATTATTTAATTTTCTTCTTCATTGAGGCATTGATTGTAAGTTGTAAGATGTCATTTATTTATGAGTTATAAATGCAAAGTTAATGAGAATTAATATTTATCTGGTTATACATTATATTAAACTTTCATCATGCAAGTTTAATTTAGACCTACTGCTTTAATTAATGGAGATGGAGTTAATTAATTTTCCCTCTCAAAATTTCAGAATATTAGTAACTTGTTAAAACTTCTTTATATAGTAAAATAAACAATTAGGAGCTAGGCAATAATCTGGAGTATGAGAATAAAGTGCTAATGATCCCTATAGTATAGTATAGTACAGCATCAACCTAAAAAAGCAAAAAGTATTGTTAGAGTTTAATTTCCTGTAAGCGGTCAAGATTATAGGTCATGGGTTCGAGTCCTAAATATAAAGAAAATCTGTTGGGAGCGTCACCTCCATAATGAGCTCCAAAGGCGTATCCAAGGTTTTAAGATGATGGCTGCACTATTACTAAAAGGTGAATCTACCTCACTTAGGGAGGTGCTCCCAATCATCATCGCATTATATGATACTCCACATATGGGTTCACACATTTATATTTCAATATTTTTAGAAAAATATAACACTACTATATATGATCTCGGGAGAGGGGCATGGGAACCCGTGAACCCCTCTTGCATACGCCCCTGATGAGCCATGCAGTGCATGATCTAAATTTAGTCGGAGCTCCAATGCAAAACAATCGCAACTTAAATGACTAAAGAATATATTCTACTTCAATTTGAATAAGATTTTCCCTCACATTAGCAAGAACTATAAATAGTAAGCCAACTGATTTCTTCCACTAATCCAAAGTTCTAAAAGCAAAGAAAATTTTGCTTCAAAATTATTGAGAAAATGGGTGCCAACAACTCTTCTGCATGGCATCAAACTAATAATAATGCACTGACATCAACTCTACCCATGAAGAATCAAGTCATTCATTTCCATTCCTCAGCAACATGGAAAATCCATTTTGATTCTTTGAAACAAACTAACAAATTGGTAATATTCATTTTACATGATTTTTCTTCAAACATTTCAAATAAGATATATTTCATACAAGTCTTTTTCTTGTGATTGCTATATTGTTATTGACTTCACAGCTTCATGGTGTGGTCCTTGCCGACACATGGAGCCAGTTATCAATGACTTTGCCTCTACATAGACAGACGTCAAGATTGATGTGGATGAACTTGATGTATGAGCTTTAATTATATATGCTTTGCTTTCAAGTTTTGTATTGTTCGTGTTACTAATTCGTTGAAAGCAGGACGTAGCTCAAGAATATGGGGTGCAAGCAATGCCAACATTCGTGCTGATTAAGCAAGGGAAACTAGTTGATTAACTTGTGGGAGCAGATAAAGATGGACTGAAGAAAAAGATTGAAATAAACAGAGCTTAAGAAACTAAAAAAGGGCACTATTGCTTCAATAAGAGTGATAATAGCACTATTACCATTGTTGTATTTGGTTTGAATAAGAAGATGACTTGCTTGTTTTGTGTTTCATAGGATCTTTCTCTATACAACAAAGACCCCTCCCCTGTGTGTGCGCGCGTACCCTACATAAATGTCAACACTAGCAAAAAAGGTTTTGCATTCTTCTGGGTAAACAAGCAAAATGAAAAGCCAAAACCTGGACTGAAAGCAAATATATGAATGAAAAGATGCTTCATCCAGCCAATGTCAAAAATCAAACGAATAGGTTCATTACTAGTCTGCCACAATCTGCAGCCACAGATGAAAATCAAATTCGAACAAGATAGCAAGCTACTCCCAACTCCAATTACTTGATATATAGCATCTACCTCCAAATTAAATAAAATAGCACAGTTATTAAAACTAGTAAACTAGCTAACGTGTTCCAACGTAAGAATTATATAGGGGCAGCTGCTATATTAGCTCCTTTTATGGTGCTAAACAAAAGTGAACTTTGAGAGGCATCGTGTCAAAACAGTAGTCCTACTATGCACAATTCTCCTGTCTTATGTCTAGCATAAACCTTATGCAAACTTTTCAAGTATGTACATAAACAATCAGTCTTGGTAAAATCTCAAGTATAACCATGGTAGTCGGCAGTTCTGCCTAATACTCTTCTGATATCACATTTCTGATCTGAACTAAGCCTTGACGGGAATTTAACCTCAAACTTGATCCTCAAATTTCCTTTCTTTCCAGGTTCTTTCGATATTGGCATTCCTTCATTCGGGATTTTCTGCTCATGTCCTGGTTTAACAACTTCTGTGATTGGTATAGTGAGTTCCCTTCCATCCAAAGCAGTCAGGTTGATAGTTTTCCCAGCGAGAGCATCTACTAATGAGATTTTCTGATTGATCACTAGATCATTCCCATCCCTCTTGAAAACGTCATGTGGCTTTTCATCTATTACAAAAATAAGATCACCAGGTGCAGCTCCAGGCTCATGGTTCCCTTTCTCTGGAAAAGTAATTTTTGTGCCTTTCTTCCAACCAGGTTTAATGTGTATTGCCAAGACCTCTTCAATAGTTGTGGGCTTACTGCAAATATAGTTTATACATGGAAGACAAAACTGATTAGACTAAGAACCAGTATTAGAACCATTAAGTGCAAACTAATTAGTTGTAACTTATATATTAAAAATACATGCAACGGTAGAATCACATGTTCACAGAATTCTACTGTCAAGTCATTTCTGTGTTACCCCCCTCACCTCCACTCCGCACCTCCAAAAAGGTAATACTGCTTTAGCAGCCAGGAAATATGTCCTCCTATCAGCTGTATATTTTGTCAGAAACTATATCATTGCAACCAGGAAATGGAACATGTAGCATGACTAATCTACCTCCCTAGACCCTACTGATCATAACTAAGCAATGTTAAAAAACTTATATTCTGTAGGGAAAGTAGCTTTGATCCTGAAATCATATCTTTGATCCAGAATTTTCACTTAGTAATAATAGAGGATTGAAGCAGATGCTCTGTAACAGTAAAAAATTGTAATTCCTCAAAGCAAAAGAGTATTGTTGCATAGGAAGATTTAAGTAATAATAGTTGATAGAAGCGCGTGTTCCGTAACAGTAACAATATGTAATTCCTCAAAGCAAAAGAGTAGTCTTGCATCTGAATATTTAAGTCTAACTAACTGGTAGTACGTAAAAACATAGGAAAAACACTACCTCAGATTATATTCAGATTGATAAGCAACAAAGATGTTGTATTATTTTAAAACAAATCATTCTGGAGTCTGCCAACTCAAAAAAAAATTCAATTTTACAACAACATACCTAGTGTAGTCCCACAAGTGGGGTCTAGGGAGGGTGGTGTGCACGCAACCTAACCTCAAATTCCATCATTTTCAAAATGAAAGCTTAAAAGAACATATTATGGTTTTCCTCGTTGAGCTTGAAGAGATATCTAAAAGATTTTCTCTCGATTCTCTGTTATAGCTCAAAAGTAACTCTTAGAAGTTATGTCCAATAAGACTCACTGTTGGAAATTGGGACGTGAATAAGCGATCAATCTCCCACCAGTCCACACAAAGGAATTAGATTAACATCAGAATTATCACTCATTTTATCAAGAGGCAGATGGTAAGAGCATATTAAGGACAACTTAGTTGTCACAAGTTAGCAAATGGTTGATGAAAAGAGTTGATTTTAAATGGTCAAAAAGTGAAACTCATTCAGCTTAGTTCCAACTATCACATCTACAGAATTCAAAAAAGTATCATCAACTCTGGAATTTGATATCTTGTTTCTTCTCTGTAATTTCATACTACACAAACCATTTATATTCGTGCATCGTCTCTATCCCAACTAATACACATAATTTAAGTTAAATGTACTTTTGCAAATGATAATCAAAGAAGAATTTTTCCTCGACTCACCAATATCATTCACTCATTCTATATAATTCATGCATAACCCCCATATGATGAACAGTTCTGATACATTACCGTGGGACAATCTCGAAGGCACAGTTTCAAGGGGATGGCCTAGTGGTTGAGGCATGGGAGTAACTTCCTAAGGATCCAGATTCATATGACAACTATAACCAACCTTGATGGACAGGATTAACTTGGCAATCTCTGCCAAATTCACCACACAAAAGATCAAATCACTACTATCAACTCGAATTATTCCTGTCAATAGGCCAGATGTAATTCATTTCGCAAAGTAATGTAAATTTCTTATTGACAAAAGCAGATAACAGATTCTAAAATACAGAATTTAGCAAATATGGATAGAGGATGCCATTCAGAAATATTAGCTGGTGTTTGTATAATGTAAGGTATTTACTTACCCAGTGCCATCAAGAACAATCCTTGAAATCTTCATTTTCCTCTTAGAACCCTTGTATAACTCCTCCAAGCTACACGGCAACTTGTTCTCCACCGGCGCAGCTTTCCGAATCCGTACAGTACCACCAGTACTCCTACTGTACCCATCCGATCCACCAAAAAATTCCGCGAAAATATCTTCCGCATCACGCGAATTGAACTTAAATCCTCTTCTATCACTAGGTGAGGATGGATCGAATTGACCAGATTTCAGTGCCTCATCACCATATATATCATAGATCTGACGCTTCTGAGGATCACTCAGCACATCATAAGCCTCAGATATCTGCTTGAATTTCGCTTCAGCTTCCTTCTTATTCTCACTATTCTTATCCGGATGCCATTTCATCGCCAATCTCTTATACGATTTCTTCAAATCTTCTTCACTCGCATTACGTGACACTTTCAGTGTCTTATAGTAATCAACACTCATATTTTCTTCTCTTCTCTTTCACTGTCCTGTTTTCTCTCTGTATCGTTGATGAAAACGAAGAAGGAATATATGTGTTTGTATATATATTTATAAAAAAATATATAACAGACTGTTTCTCGAGAAATTTCTGGTAAGTTTGTTAAATCTGTATAAAAGGAAGTGGTTGACCCTTACTCGACGGGGAAAACTCCGGCGAGTTGGCCGGTCGTCAAGGCGAATCAATGCGTAAGGTAGAGAAATTGGCGGATGTTGTGCTAAGATACGCATAAGAAGAGATTTTTATAGAGTTTTTGTTTAAAATGACGGGACTGTGATGACAACTGTACATGCCACGTAGGATTTTTAACGGTGACGGAGTATAACAGAGGAATATAAGTTAGTGAGAGGTGAGAACGTGCTGGGCGCGTAAAATATGGGCCGACAGAGTATCTTCTGTTGGAAGTCTGTGCGCTTCACAGAATCTGTTTTGGCGATTTGGCGACTGGGCGGCCGTGTATAATAGTTACATTATAATTTACACCGTATTTTTTACCTTTAATTTTAAGATTATGGATTGAACTCCAAAAAAGAGTTAAAAAGAATAAAAAATGTTGAAATTCACCTAATAATCGAGTGGTGTAGAAATGGTTCATCCTTAACTAGAGACCCGATTTGAGCCTTGATATGGAAAAAATCCTACTTGAGGGGCTTCATTGTGGGCTCGAGATAGCGGGTGGGAAACCAAATATATAGTAATAATATAAAATGTGTATCATTTTCTCCAAGAACAATATAGTGGTAAGGAATTGTTTTCAAAGTTTAGCTTGTTAGGCGAAATGAGGTCTAGTTTATTGATGTCTGTAGTTACTAGTGTAATTACTCCAGCCATAAAAAGCAAATCTTGTTGTTTCATGAGTTTATCGCATTATCCACCATTGATGACTGCTAGCTACCGTTGTTTTCGTGCCCGGAGTAGCCTTTCGTGCTGTAATAGTCATGCTGATGATGATATGAGTGCCCTCTTTCAGGTGCTTTTCCTTTTAAGTTTTCTGTTTTTTTGTGTGTTTTGGTTATTCAACTCTGGCAATGTGAGTTTGCATATATTTTAGGGATTTACAAGTACTAGAAGGAAATGAGCTGGAATAGTCCAAATAGAGCGGAATGGATGTAGAGGATTTTCATGTATCTTACCTGAAGTACTTAGGGATTGAGGTATAATTGATTAGTTGATTGTGTCTAAGTTTCAACCTTTTACCCCTTTTTAGGGTAGGTAGTGGAGGGAGCAAGTTTCAACTTGTAGTCTAGGATATGTGACACTCACTATTGGGTGTACATAATGTGAAACTTGTTAGAACTTAGAAGTTAGGGTTAGGATATCTGTTGAGAATGTTTGAGAAAATGTGCTTATGTAAAGATCCTAGAAATAGGGGAACAAAGGGAAAAAAGACGATGTTGTTTACATGTCAGCTTGATTTTGAAGTTTAAGGGAGAAATTATTCATTTAACTGATGCAGGTTAGCTTCTTGATAAGCTATTTTTAGATGATCATATCTTGATAACCATATAGGCTTACCAACTAAGTTTGGATTGAGATTTAGTGTTATTGGGTATACTTACTTGAAGAATTCTATGTTAGTGTAGGAATAAGTGGGACATTTAGAGAACTCCCAATTTGAAGAACCCCTAATTTGTACCTAAAGATAAATTAATTTGAATGAAGTTGACCCAAATGGAGCGGAATGGATATTAATGATTTGTGTAGCCAACTCCTACTAGTTTATCAAGGTGTAGTAGAAGTAGTTGTTGTTGTACTGGCACTACTTGTTGCAGGGCTTTTTCGTAGTCAAATAAAAAAGTAGTGACATGAAAACTTGGAAAAGCGGTGGAGTAGTTAAGATTTCTATATTTCCTATGAAGTTTGTAGCACTCGCTCCCTGGGAAAATCTGAGGAAGTGAACTTTTCATATATCAAACACAAGTCTACAAGAAAGTTAATAATGGGAAATTAGGAATCAAAAAATAAACATGGCATAGTGTGTACCAAAACTGGGAGAATGGAACAGAAGAGGAGGTATGAAAGCTCAAAAAATTAGATGAAGACATCCCAGGCGGCATATGGTGGACTATCTGGAGGGAAGGAATTTAAGACATTTTGAAGGAAAAAGCAGCCCAATCCAGAAGATAGAGCTTAATTGTATTCTGCTTTTGCATTTTTGGTGTAAACAGGAGTACATAAATAACTCTGAGATTATATTACAATTCCTAGAGTCTGTATAGTTGTAGTAGAATTTTTGTATAGATTTTTAGCTTTCTTTCCTTGTAACTATGGCCTCCACAGGCTCTTTCGATATCAATACAAATCTGTTACCATCTCAAAAAAAAAGGGAGAGTGGATATAAAACGAGGTAACTGCTTGTTCAAGAATGGACTTTTCAGCCTCTTTTAAAAAACTTGTGAGGTAAAATTTAGTGTATACACGAAGTAAAATGTCACACGCTTCAAGGAGTGTTGCACAAGAACCATCTACCTCCCTTAATTATCAGTGTAGACTATGGCTTTTTGCTTGTATTTCAGTTCTGGAGGGCTATGTACATTACAGTTGCAAGTTTGTTTTACATTTCTTTGTAATTTATGCCCAAACATTGGGTAGGATAGCTGGGGTTGGAGGGTCATTTAGCATATTGTGATTTTGATTTCTTGCATCAGTTGAATTATTGAAATATTTGCTTTATGTAATTGAAGAATATGCTTTAAAATAAACTTAAAATGATTTACTTTTCTTTTCTTCTTTTTGCAGATTCTGCCATGTGACTTACGGGACACCCTTTTGTGTGACCCCAGCCAAGATCAACTAGTAGAGGTATCTATTTCTAACAATGTGAACACTTTCTTTGAAAAAGGGATGTAGTATGTGTTTTTTCACCAGATTTCTCCTTGATTGTTTTAGCTTCACTTGCTGTATCTTGTAAATAGCAATATGTGATGTTTGCCTTAAATCTTACTGTCAGCTAATAAGCTGTTCTTGATTTGCTAGCGTTATAGTTTACCAGCTTAAATGTGCCTACAAAAGATGATATCCTTTGTTTTGCTAATATTCTTGTGTCAAAGAGGTCTCTTGCTGGAAAAAGTATGATCTGTGTTCTGGAAATTGTCATTTTGTGAATCTGACTAAATTTATCTGCTTACCACAAACATGTTTCGGTAGATATGCTTTTCATGAAATGACAGGATGAGTTTCATATTATCACATAGGTTACCAGTAATGTTTATATGGCTTGATAATTATTTGAGATCCGTGCTATCTAATAGGTTATCAGTAATGCTTATGCAATGATAATTACTATGCTGTGTGTATTATTATGCTATGATAATTACTATACTGACCAAAAAAATGGTATGATATGTTTGTAGGTGATTTTAGATTTAGGCTGTTTGCCACAAGCACATTACATAGATGATTCTGGGAGGCGTTACCTTCGAAATACTGAGGTAAACACTAAAGGTATTGAAATTACCCTACTTTATGAAAATATTGAAGTATTTATTGTCATGATAATGACTAGTGCACTTCTTGTTTAGAAGCACTAGAAGCTTATTGTAGTTTACTAGGAAGTGATAGAGAAAAGGGAAGAAAATTGTGGTCTTGAAGGAATATAAAGTACAACAACTGGACACCAGAAGATTATTGAAGAGCTTAATTATATCTGCTTCTTCTTTTTTTGAAATGTGAAGTTATATCTGTTTCTTCTGTTAAGCAGGTCTCTATGGAAGAAATACAATGTGTCCTCAAGGAAATTGGACAATTTGGAGGAGATAATAGAGCTGGCATTGAGGGTACTTTGCATCGCATTTCCGCAATTAGGAATAGGAAGGGTGAAGTCATTGGTTTGACTTGCCGAGTTGGCAGGGCCAGAGGACAGATTGACATGGTGTGGGATTTGCTTGATTTTGGTGAAAGCATCTTGTTTGTTGGACGGTAAGTGAGTTACAAATAGATGTAAATCATGTCTCAATTTTTCTAATGTGTTGTACTAAGCTGATAACCATCAAGCTTTATCACAATTGACTATACCTTGCTATCCTGTCAAGTTATTCTGTCTTTTTTTGATTTGTCTCTCTTTAAATTAACAGACCTGGTGTTGGTAAAACTACGATTGTGCGAGAGATATCTCGTGTCTTGTCCGATGAACTTCATAAAAGAGTGGTTTGTTAACTAACTGCTGCAATTAACTTTATGGTTTCACTCTCCTACTTACTTCTCAAATCTTATTTCCTTATTTCATTATTATGCTGCTAATGAAGAAGTTTTCACAGCTTAGGGATCATTGTGGTAGGTTATTGTTGACACAAGCAATGAAATAGGAGGTGATGGGGATATCCCACACCCAGCAATAGGAGGGGCAAGAAGATTGCAGGTTCCAGACCCATCGATGCAGCATCAGGTTATGATTGAGGCAGTGGAGAACCACATGCCCGAGGTGATCATTATAGATGAGATTGGCACTGAATCTGAAGTTCATGCTTGTCGTACAATTGCTGAGAGAGGTGTTATGCTTATTGGTACAGCTCATGGCGAACAGCTAGAGAATATAATTAAGAATCCAACTCTGTCTGATCTGGTATGTTTGGAACACCTAATGATTTCCTTAATGAGGAACTCCTCTTTTTCTTACTGTCCTGCACAATAATCCATTTCAGTATCATTTGAATATATTCTTAAAGCATCTTTTTGTACCTGCTTTTTGGTTGGTAAGTGTAAGCAAACATTACTTTTGCATTCAGATTCAGAATTAGACTTTTCCATTTCAGATGCTAGCACTTGTGTGTGTGCTTTTTTTCTTTTGATAAATGAAGGCGGAGTATTCCATTAGACAAGGCACAAAGGGGTTGTCAGTCACTCATCAAGGATAACAGAAAAATGAACATAAACTCAAAGATGATAAATGCTGAACTAAACACCCGAAAATAGCATATTCAAATTGTAAGAAAGCCTATAGACGCTACAATTGCAGAATTTGCACCCCGCTAATTTCTACTTGTTGGGATAGTACTCACTGCATGAAAAATAAAATGTCAAAGAAAACCAATCTAAGAATCTAGGAATAGTCATTTCCTCTGCCTGGATGCTCTCTGTTGAGTTCCAGCCACAAGCACCGGAAAGACACTGGGTATATCTCTTCTTGTTTGCCTTAGTATCTTTTATATATTCAGTTTTCTTCTCATTATTACTCTTCATTATTAGGCGATAATGCTTCCTTTCTGATCTCTTGAATTGTCAAATTTTACAGATTGGAGGAGTAGTAACTGTGACTCTAAGTGATCAGGAGGCACGAATCAGGAACTGCAGTGAAAGTGTTCTTGAGAGGAAAGCTCCATCGCCCTTTCCTTTTTTGATTGAAATAAACGAGAGAGACTACTGGATTGTACACCGGGTTAGTCACCACTTTGAGGCAATAGTGTAATATAGAAAATATCACATGCTAGACAGCAACGCCTCCATATTGACATGTTGGCACATATTCCCCTCCACCTTTGATCCCCTTGTTTATTCTTTTTGCATACTAGCTTATTGTCAATGAGTAATATAGGTTCCTTGCATTGCAAGGAATGAAAGGAAATCTTTGAGTTAAAAGCCATAACTTTATCCTTTGTGATCTCTCTGCCAGCATTTTGAGTTCTAATAGCTCTTTTTCATTTTGGAGAACAAAATGCAGACTGAAAGAAGTGTTGATGCTCTGCTTCGGGGTAAAAAACCGCTAGTTGAGGTACTATAGATATGTTCTTGCTATTTATGATCTTCTATATAGCTTCTATTCAGTTGACAATTCGTTCCCACAAAAAGGAAGTATTAGTTTCCTACACGCTTGATTCAAACTCCAAATAATGCTGTTACGTTAAAAGAGGTATTTTTAGCCTTATGATGCACATACCATACTTAAGAAGTGAACGCCAACACCTCAACCTCTAGGTAGTTAGAGTCGGCTATGCTAATTCTTACAATCTATTTTGTTCCATTTGGACCTGATTCATTCCAGTTTTCAGTAATTTGGGATTCTCTAGTGGTGGAGGTTCTCTACATTTTGAACTGACAAACAAACAGACAAAAAGAACTCCTACCAAATACTGAACCTAATATTAGTGTACCAACATGACTATGCTTTGACCAGAGCTAGTTGTTATTGCCTATATGAAACTTTTACTTTCATTGTAATGAATTCTACTTTTTGGTAAGTCTGTGTGGATCTCAACAGATAGTAAGTCATTCGAGATACTCCTCTGGTGTGATTTTAGGTCTACCTCGTCTTGCCCATTTATTACAAGTTATATAATTCTGTTTCCTTCAGCTTTCAACCTTCAAGTTAAAAAGTGTGGAGGAGAATATTCCTTTGCTTTAGAGAATAAGAAACCTGTAATCTATTTCTTTTTGATAGATTAATCTAATTATTATTATTATTATTATTATTATTTCGATAAAGTCCTTTAATCTAAATATTATGCAATTTAATTTCCAATGACAGAAAACTGTACAGCAATTTGGACCATGTCCAACTTGATAAATTACCAAGTCTTCAACAAAAAGTTGTTGCCTTTTCACTACACAAATTACAAAAATGAAGTATGTAATATGATGCCATTATTTCAGCTACTGTTTTTAACTTTCGAAAGCATCAGTTGTGAAAGAGCATGTGAGTTAACTTGTAAGTAAATTTAGAGGTTACTTGCTTTGTGTTAGGATTATACAGTTGCATGGTTTTCTTTTGAGTGCAGCTGAATGCATGCCTTATTGGTGGTGGCAACGTACTAAAAATCTTTGTTTTACAGGTTAGGAGGAGAACTCAGCAATTACAGGTTGTGATTGAGAGATGGAGAACAAAAGCCTAAATACAATTAACTTCTGGTACTGCTCTACTGGTAAACATATTGATCATGCATACACCAACATTTCTTTCTCTTTTATTGGTTCAACGTTTCTTTCTTGTTGCGTGAATGGAGAGAAAATATCCAATGCTTCCCTCTTTCTTCTAGCTACCCTCTAGTCTTGATACAGAATCAATGCTTGATTACTGTGCTCTTGAGTTGGTTTACTTGCCAGAAACATAGCTGAGTTTTCAACAGGATCATTCAGCTTATAGGATCTATTCTACATATAACGGAGAGAGTTGTTGGAGCTCTTGGTTCTCATTAAACTTTGCGGTTTTGTCTTAGGTCGTCATAGGGATTAGAATTCTGTTTCAGTTATTTGGCCATCGACCTATTACTATAGAGTTCTGTTCTCTTTCTTTTTCAATTGATTAAATGTTATGAAGATGAAATGCTAGTAGGTCTCTATCTCTAACTACATCTCAACTCTACCAGGCGCTTGCTTGATACGAAATTATTCATGTTTGTGTCTACTCAACTCATATTAGCATAAAAAATGATGATTTCATTTGCATTATCCACAGGTACAAGATCAAAACCTGCTTGTTTTGAGGGCTTTGAGAACCAAAGATGTTTCGAAAACAGTGAAGTTGAAGGAGCTATTGACCTACTACACTAGCAGATACATACTGAGTAATGTATCCCAACAAAAAGGTAGCAAAAGAAATTCTATGATCATCCAAACATTGTAATGGATCAAGAAGACAACTTGACCACGTATATTATTATACGTTCTTGTGAGTTCAATTGAATCCATTTGGTCTCGGCTTACATCTCTCTTTTTATGTTACAAAATACAAGTAACAGATTTTAGTACAAGTTTAGTTTCATTCTTTTGATTTCCAAACTGATAAAAAGAGAGCAGTTAAATAATTTGTAATCCTTATATATATTTAAAAATAGATCAGAGTTGATTATGTGAACTTTTTGCTTTCCAAAATCGGTGAAAAAAGAAATGATATTTAATGCCTACTATCAATATTTCAATGGGAATTTGCTTTTTTTTTTTTTTTTGGGTGACATAAGAAGTCAAATTGATTACTTTTATACTGTCCCAATACTTTGGACGCCTAGTTCATATAAACTGGAGTAACAAATATTACAAGGATTAATAATTGTCATTTTGTGAAATGATATATTAATGTTTTATTTTCTAATATTCCATATTTGTGTACTTCAACCTAAGTTTTAGAAATTGGCGGTTGGAACAAAGAAGCATTTTAGTATGATCCTAAACAAAGACATTATGTTTTGGTAAATTCAATATGATTTTGCTGACCTCTACTTGGAATTAAAAGACAAAAAACTGCATGTAACATAAAAAGTAAGAAAAAATATACAAAAACAAGACATGACGATTTGAACTAAGAAATAGGCTTTTCTCCATCCTAGAGAATTAAGAATATGCCAATTTCAAGCAAATTCTAGAAGCTTTAGGCGTGTTCCAAATAAAATAAGTGTTTTTTTTAACTTATTGTTTTGCGTTTGGTATGTATTTAAAAAATATTATTTTAAAAGTATTTGTATATAATTATTTAGACAAAAACTATGGGAGGTGATAACAGAGGTAGGAGGGTGTGGAGTCGTGGGGATGGGGGCTACTGGGGTAGGGGTGAAGATGAAGTGTGTTAGAGGATGAGAAGTGACACAATCAATATGAAATGTCCCACATGAAACCTATTTTCCCTACTTTCATTAAAGAAATCATTTTCTTCATTTTTTTAGGTACATATAGAGAAAATATTTCCAAAAAAATTGACCAATCAAATATGAGAAAATTTAAAAACATTTTCTCTATACCGAACACACCCTTAATCTCTTCAACACAACCAACCATTATCAGTATCACTACAAAAGAGACATTTAATGGCAATAAATTAAATTTCCTATATTGCTGCAAAAACATTTAGCCGCAATTGAGTTAATGTTATTGGATCCAAAGTCGCCATACATAGAGTGTTGGATATAAATACTGAATTATATATTGTCGCTAAATAATTACCGATAAATCCTTATGGACATTTAATTTATCTTAGATACTATCTTCACTATGTTTTCCTCATTTGTCATCTTTCTTAATCAACATGCATATATATACACACTCAAACTTGTTACTTAACTTCAAATAAAACATATTTATTTGTTAACTTTACAAGCTACAAAAATGGCGATTACAACGTTTCCATCTGTGGATAAATGTACATCCATAGGTCGCGAAAAGGACACAGTAATCGCAGACATGGATGGAACTTTACTTCGAGGACGAAGCTCTTTCCCTTATTTCGCCTTAGTTGCTTTCGAAGTTGGAGGTGTTTTAAGGTTACTTATACTTCTCTTATCTTCACCACTCGCTGGACTTCTTTACTATTTCGTCTCGGAGTCTGCTGGAATTCAAGTTCTTATTTTTGCTACTTTTGCTGGGATGAAAGTATCTGATGTAGAATCGGTAGCACGTGCAGTGCTACCGAAATTCTACTCAGAAGATCTTCATCCTGAGTCATGGAAAGTGTTCTCTTCTTGTGGGAAACGTTGTGTTTTAACCGCGAATCCTAGGGTTATGGTGGAAGCATTTTTGAAGGATTTTTTGGGAGCTGATTTGGTTTTAGGAACTGAGATTGAAAGTTATAAAGGTAGAGCTACTGGCTTTGTTAAGAAGCCAGGAGTTCTTGTTGGTAAAAACAAGGCTGATGCTCTTACAAAGGCTTTTGGAGAGAGTAAACCTGAGATTGGTTTGGGTGATCGTCATACTGATTTTCCTTTCTTGGCTTTGTGTAAGGTTAGTTCTAATTTGCTGCATTTTTACTCATCAGATAATTTTTGAAACTTGTGATCTGAAATAAGTCATGCATCCAAGTGTGTAGCTTAGTGATTGATGTAATGGATTTAGCACCGTGAGGTTTCAGGTTCAATTTCCATGCCAGGCACAAAATACTACTCTGATACCTTTGCCCCAATGCCCCAATTTATATGATTCACTTTTCTTTTTAGTCAGTTTCAATAAAAATAACACATTTCTATATTTAGTAATAATTTAACTTTAAAATCTTCATTTTACTCTTAATGAAATGATTATAGTCATCACCTATTTTAGACTACACAAGTTTCAAAAATCTTTCTTTTTTAGACTCTGAATCAAGTCAAACTATATCATATAAAATGTGATGGACACAGAGTAGGTGATTATTTCTTCCCATTTGTTCTAGCTTTAGTAGACAGACAATTACTTGGTACATGTTGTTGGGACTTGGGAGATGACAGATATCCCGTAGAACTAATCGAGAGGCATTCTAGCTGACTTGAACACCGTTGCTATTAATATTTGTGTGTCTATAACTCAAATCTCATTAAGGTATACGTTCAAAAAATGCAGGAAGGTTACGTTGTACCACCAAAGCCAGAAGTTAAAGCTGTAACAACAAGCAAACTTCCCAAGCCCATCATTTTCCATGATGGCCGTTTAGTTCAAAAGCCAACACCTCTCATGTCACTACTCATCCTACTGTGGATCCCGATTGGATTCATTCTCGCGTGTTTACGCATTGCTGCTGGTTCCCTTCTCCCTATGCCTATCGTCTACTACGCCTTTTGGGCGTTAGGCGTTCGTGTCATCATCAAAGGTACCCCTCCACCTCCTGTCAATAAATCCAACAACAAATCAGGTGTCCTCTTCATTTGCTCACACAGAACTCTCCTTGACCCGATTTTCCTCTCTACTGCCCTTGGACGTCCGATTCCAGCTGTTACATACTCCGTTTCACGTCTCTCTGAGATCATTTCACCGATTAAAACAGTTAGACTTAATCGTGATCGAGATCTAGATGCATCGATGATAAAAAAACTCTTACAAGAAGGTGACCTAGCAATATGCCCTGAAGGGACAACATGTAGGGAACCGTTTCTACTTAGATTCTCCGCGTTATTTGCTGAGTTAACAGATGAACTTGTACCCGTTGCTATGGTGAATAAGATGAGCATGTTTCACGGTACAACGGCTAGAGGATGGAAAGGGATGGATCCATTTTACTTCTTTATGAACCCAAGCCCCGTTTATGAGGTTACATTTTTGAATAAGTTGCCGTATGAGCTAACTTGTAACGCGGGGAAATCGAGTCATGAAGTAGCTAACTATATACAAAGGGTTATTGCTGCAACTCTTTCTTATGAATGTACTAGTTTTACAAGGAAGGATAAGTATCGTGCACTTGCTGGAAATGATGGAATTGTTGTTGAGAAGCCTAAGATCAAAAAAAGTATAATGGGATGCTAATAATTTAAAATAAGTTACTATATACATGTCTTTGGTTGGGTGGAAGTATAGAACTCCACGCCTTACTGTTGTTGTTGTTATGGTTCCTTGCATATATATACTCTGGACTGCTTTGCTATTAGCAGTCATGTTTTTCCTTTAATTACTGTTTTGATTTGCTTGAGTGGAGGGTCTTTCGAAAACAGCACATCGTATACCTCGAAGAGGTTTGCGTACACTCTACTTTTCTCAGACTCGACTTTTTGAAATTTCACTTGAATTTGTTGTTGTTACTATGTACCTAGCATTAGAAGATTTCAACTTTTTAAATATTGATCATGTCATGTACTCCCTTGTAAGAAATAATATAATTCAAGACTTCACTTGTCAATTAATTGGCTTGTTTACATTTCACACTTTCTCTTGAGTTGATCTCCTTTATGTAAAAGTTTGAGCGGATCACTAGAAAGTGAGTGGCTTGTTCGAGTGGTTGAGAACCTTCTGTTGATGTTATTGCGCATGTTAATACTAGAAATTAAAATATTAAGCGTATGATAATTAATAGGCGTAGAGGGGAGAAAGTGGTGTTATAATTCTTTGTAAATCACGTAATCTCAAAGACATGTTCTCTTCATTATCTCTTACTCCCTCCGTTCACTTTTAATTGTCATGGTTTCCTTTTTTAGAGTCAAGAACTTTGATTAACATTTTATGATGTATTTTTTCATCATATTGATATGCAAAAAATTGCAATTTATAGTACTTTTCATATATTTTTGAATATCTAAATTTTAAGTTTAAAATATCGAATTAATGTAATTTAATTTAACTTTAAAAATTAGTCAAATTGACTTTTAAAAAACGCAATATGATAATTAAACGTGGACGGATGAATTATTAATTATCCAACTAATCC